AAAAAAAAAAAAAACACTATGAAAAGCCATAATAATAATGACTATAGTCGGCAGTAGTTTAACGACCACTTTCTTTCTTTATATAACCAATAAATATACCAAAGGGGCTAATTATGACCCACATAACATTAACATAAAGGCAACTGCAGAACTACTGCATGATTTTATTGGTAATACGTTGCTAATAATCGACTTGCACTGAAAGGTTGGTAAGGGACGCTGTTAGTAAAGTAATATATATCATGCAGTGATGTGTATAAAGAGGGACAAACTTGTTTCTTCAGTGTGTATGGTGTATGACTGGTATGATGCACACAGCTGGCGGCTTTTTCCGTTCTGCCGCAGTCTGAATCACTCTGCTAATTGTCTAGATGGATTGCCTACATACCGTGCAGCGTCTACACACTCAAACAGACATCATTTTCTAAAGATAGCTGCAGTTTAAAGCAAATCATGCATCTCTTATGCTGGTCCCATATGTACGCAAGCCCGTCGTCGCAAATGGAAGATGATGGCACACTCAAGACCCCAATAAACGCTGCAATTTAGCGCAAACTCAAACATTCTTAGCACAAAGTCCAATTTCATGAGAAATAAACGGAGTGTGCCACTGATTGCACACCACATCTGTCCTTAAATCAACTAAATTTAAACGTGACAAAAATACAGGCATATGGAGACGGTGCAAGCCCTGCCAGGGGTGGGCCTCCTGTTCATGTAATTCAGCATGCAATGCAAATTAGAGCCCTTCTTAGAGTGAAAAAAAAAAAAAAAATCACCGCCCTTGCTTTCTTAAATAACAAGCCTCATCGCGAGCTTGGGCCTGAAGAGAGAGAAAGTAATTTGAGAGGATATTTGCTTACATGTGTATCAGCAATTTGGTGTATTAGGATGCCCCCTCCCTGGAAGTGTCTGCATGAGTGGCACCACGCAGGCACACGCGCTGCCATGCCACAGGACGGCTGCTGCCTTGGTAACGCTTCCCTCCTCCCCCTCCTTCCCCATCCCTCCTCAATCTAAATGGGAATTAGATTCCCATCATCAGAAGCTGCAATTTGCTCAAAACAATGTGAAATCATACGCCGGCGTGTCTGGACAGCCCCGGCTCCCGAGGCGCGCAGCACATATGCAGATTTCTGGATTAATGTCCCCTGCGTGTAGGACGGAGGACAGGGAAAATCAAGTGAGGGAGGAATGGGTGGAGAGAGGAAAAAGGAAAAAGGGGAATGAACAGGCTAACAGGACCAGGGTCTTTATCTATATTGGCTTTTTTCTACTTTTATTAGCTCGCTTAAGGGATAGTTAACCATTCTGTCATTATTTACTCACCTTCATGTCATTCTGAACCTGTATGACTGACTTTCCTCTATGGAGCACAAATGAAGATATTTTGAAATAAAAGTCAGTGGGGTCCAAAACAACACTGGACCCCATTTACTTTCATAATATGGTCAAAAACACCACAACATCTACAGAAGAAATGTCAAACAGGTTTGGAACGTCATGAGGGGTGAGTAAATGATGACCGAATTTTTATCCCTTTAAGGTAAATCAGAAATAAGATCCATATTAAAGGAATATTCTGGGTTAAATAAAAGTTAAACTGAGTAGTTCACCATTTTAACTGACTCTCATGTCAGTCCAACCTCATAGGCTGCAATTTTCTCCATTGAAAATGACAGCAGACATTTTTAAAGAATCTTCCAACAGGACTTTTCAAGAAATAACAGTGACCACATCTGACAAGTGCCAAAAAAAAGCCCCCAAAAAAAGCTTTTTAAAGCCATTTTTAAGGTAAAAAGAAAATGAACTATTCACTAATTATTTGAAGAATTATAAATCAATGGGCCTTTCATCATCACGTTTAGTTACTATACGTGAAAACCAATGGCGTCAATATGTCAGATCTGCATAGTGATTTTCACACCATTCCTAAATTACTAAAATGATGCTACTGTAGTAACCGTGGCTGGGTTTATTACAGATGTTATTTTTTCATATTAAATCTAATAATGTGAATCTATTATCTATTACAACTGTATAGCTGGTACAAGAAAATACAAGAAAAATCTCTTCAATATGTTTCACAGTGCCAGACTTCCTGTTTCAATCAGAAATACTGTAGGTCAGCAGAATTTGAGGAAAATGGAGCTCATCAAGACAATTCACTGGGACGTTAAAGACTAAAATTCAAATAAAAAAAAATAATACTTGTGTGTGTTGAGTATCTTTATTTCAGTGGGCATCCCCTGAGAGGAGAGAGCAAGAGAGTCTTTCAGTATCACAGATGTTTGAGCGCGTAGTTTCACTGCATGATGTGGGAGACTGTTCTCGCCTGCCGTTGTTTGTTTGTATACCATGAGGCATGAAGCCATGGGTATCACACATTTATGCAGCGGGTATGTGTGTGTGTGTGTGTGTGTGTGTGTGTGTATGTGCACTGGTTCACCCTGGCTGCAGAGGCAGAGCTGGCTAGCACACTGAGGCCTGTGGGGAGTCAGGGCTGTTCCAGGTCCCTGCTGTAATTTTCTGTCAGCCTGGCAGGATTTACCTCGCCTGGGGCAATAGCGGCTGGCTGTGGAGCATGCCACCAATCAAGGATTGAACCTCTCACCTCACTAGCCCTGCGTGTACACAACACTGCCTCCCATCCTTAATGCGTATGTGTTTGGGAGTGTGCGCATGATCGAGTGTGTGATGACAATGTATGAGAAATATTATGTGCATCAAACAAATAATTAATCCATCATTTTGACAAACTAACATTTTACAAATTTTTTATTGTACATGCCCAATGGCAATAGTATTATTGATATACTAATATAGTGCAATTATGTAGTTTTAGTTATTTTCAATTCATTCTCTATGGGAACTGACCAACAGGCATTCAATGTGGATTGTGGGATTGAAATCAGTGCGGAACAAGTGATCAAAAAAGTTGATAGAAACTCAACTTAATGCTAAAGAGAGATTAAAAAATGGCATCCACAAATTGCTATAAAGATTCTGTGGGGGAAACTTTTTTATATTTCTGGATCATAATAATAATAATAGTTAATAGTTAGAATAATAATTCATAATTAATAATAATAAATATATATAGTATTACACAATATATTTATACAATATAATTTAAATGTTTAATATATTTATTTACAAAAGATAAATAATATTATATATATATATATATATATATATATGGATAAATTATCATATGATAATATATGCAATAATTAGTAATAATAATAATAATACTATATTTAGTTTAAATTTCACAAATGCGATAAGTTGTGTTAAACTGCTTCTATACTTTGGGCATTTTGAGTGCTATTGAGCGGATTTCTTCCACACCAGTAAACGTAACAGTTCAAAACTAACCTGAAATAATACAACATTATTGTTTGCTTTAAAAGTAGTATTACTTCAAACTATGTTTTGTACTGAGCACTTTATTGTTGTTTCTACTATGTTGCAATGGAAAATTCATTACTAGACAGGCACCATAGCGTGCACACAGTTGCTCAACAACAAGTGCCAAGCAATTGTGCTTAATTTGAAATGAAACACAAAACAGAACATAAAGCATCATACCAGTCTGGAAGAGACCTGGTCAACCTGATACTTCAAATGCTCCCCTTTCATCCAGTCTTGGCCAGCCGTCCCCAGAGTCTGTGGAGGTTGCGTTTTCAGAGGCACATTTGCAGGTCAGCAGCTGAGATGGAGAGCAGGTAGTGGGGAAAAGAGCCCCCTTCTCTCTGCTCTGAGATTGATGAAGCCTTGGCCCCAGCAGCACTGCTGTAAATATACCAACAGCCATGTTAGAACAACAGTCCAACACCCACCACTGACAGCTGGCTTCTCCAAAGCCCCATTCAGACCGCTACAGACATCATCAGAAGTCACACAGCCCAGGGAAATAAGACAATCTCAAACATAAATAAGAGATGTCTGTCGGATAAATTAGCACTAATGAGAGATATATAACTGCAGCCGCCTTTCCCTCAATAACTGCAATTAGCCTCAGACCCCTCCATCAGAATCAAACAAAACCAGCACTTATTGACACCTCAGTTCATTCAAATATGCACATTTAAATAAATGATCAGATGAACTCATGGTCCATATTAAAAACAGCGGTAACACTTTACATTAAGGTTCCCTTTATAAAGGGTTTATAAAGGTGTTAATAAATGACTACTAACTCACTTACAAATGTATTATAATTCATTGATAAGCAGTTATAAATGCATGAGTAAAAGGGTGATTTTAATGCAATACCTGCCAAATAGTGAGCCATTTTTAACTATAAATGCTTAACAAATATATTTATTAATGTGCCAGAGCACTTATTTATTTGTATGGTAGCTAATTAATTCAACTAACAAAGCGATTACACATATAAACACTTGAACAATATACTCTGCAGTGTCACCTCACAGTTAGCTGAGCAATAAAATTAATAAACACAATGTGAGAGCACGCTTCAAAGCACCTTGGAACAATCCTAACAGCGTGACTTCTTCTTCTTCTTTGAAAACGTGACTTTACATCGGATGCTCGCTAGCGCCAACTACAGGCTTTGGTGACACACAGGCAACTACAGACACACAGGCTTTGGTGATGTGATCCTGAAAGAATATAATAAAAATGCATTATATGCAATGAAAATTATTTTTATTAGTAGTAGTAGATACTTCTAATAAAAAAAAACATATTTGTCACAGATTGTATTGAAGGGCAGTGAGGAAGCAGGATTCAGATGCAGCAGTACCTACTATTTTTATTAAGAAGATTACTGAACTCAGGGAAATGTAGGACAACAAACCATTCACATAAAACTAATTCAGACAACCAAATACTAAAACTCTACTACTCTATACTGTAGGACTATAATAGACCAAAGGAGAAAGCAACAAAATACAACAGAATGCAATAATATAAAAAAAAAGAATCACTAAGCAAACAAACACAAAATTAAATGTGAAATTATATAAATACATTATATATTACATATTATAATAATATGTAGAAACAACATTAGAAATCTGTGAAAAGTCAACAAAACCTGTGAATGGCGCTAGCGAGCATCCGATGTAAAGTCACGTTTTCAAAGAAGAAGAAGAAGTCACGCTGTTCGGATTGTTCCAATGTGCTTTGAAGCAAAATTATAATCTCACATAGTGTTTATTAATTTTACGGGTCTGCTAACTGTGAGGTGACACTGCAGAGTATATTGTTCAAGTGTTTATATGTGTAATCGCTTTGCTAATTGAATTGATTCATTACCATACAAATAAATAACCGCTCCGGCGCTTCCGCGGTCGGTTCGCTCGCATGCAGGTAACGTTACTGAGTGTGGATGAACAAATACTGTCAAAAAATAGTTACTGTTTGCTTATTAATATGAGAATGTTCTGTAACTGTGCTTTCAGTCATTTAATTAATTATTTACTCAAAACTGTTAAATTAGATAAAATATAAATTTTTGGTGCTTAGTTATAATTTGATGGAATACTTTATTGTGTTTCTGAATTGTTTAATGTGAGTTTACTTGCATAAGCCACTTTCCATGTGCAGTTATGCTCAGTAATGTTTAAGTAGTTTTGTTTACTGATATAGTGCATCAATAATAAAATACATTTAAGAGAGAAAAAAACCTTCTGTGTGTGCATTCATAATTAATAAATGATTAGTGTGTCCACTTTACTTTAAAGTTCACTTTCACAGGTTAATGATGTTCATAACTCATTAATAAGTGGTTCACAGGTGTTCACTTTTAAGGTTCGCTTTCACAGGTTACTAACATTTGTAATTTATTAATAAATGGTTCACAGGTGTTCACTTCACATTAAGGTTCACTTTCACAGGTTACTAACGTTTGTAATTTATTAACAAATGGTTCACAGGTGATCACTTTACATTAAGGTTCATTTTTAGACGTTATTAACGTTTATAACTCATTAATAAATGGTTCACAGCTGATCACTTTACATTAAGGTTCACTTTTAGATGCTATTAAAGTTTATAACTCAATAACTGGTTCACAGATGTTCACTTTACATTAAGGTTTACTTACTGTTTCTAATCATTGCTGTGGATAGGCATCATGGACTTTTGCGGAGAATCATGGGTAAGGTACAGAGTAGATTCTGGTAAGAAACATTGTAAGAAAAGTGACACGAGTCATGAGATATAAATGAGGAAACCATAAATACAACACCCTTCAGTCTTGCTATAATACATTTTTGCTGCATCATGAAATAAATCAGGAATCTGGTTTTGAGTGAAATAAGTATTTATAAATATATTTGTTAAGCATTTATAACATATGAGTAAAAAATGGCTCACTATTTGGCAGGTATTGCATTAAAATCACCCTAATGTAACCCTCAAGTGATCGTGTGCCCTGCTTGAGAGCTAGTAGCAGAATCGCTGTGTTCATACCTGGCCAATGTCCTTTGGAAAAGCCGCTGGATCCTTGAGTGGCCGAGTATTCTGTTGCGGGGCTGACAAGATGTGAGACGTGCGGATCCATGTGCAAGTTTTATTAACAGCAGAGGAGGTCAGAAACATAGGCAGGGTCGAACAGTGGCAAACAGGTATATGGCGGGCAAGACACAAGAATAGTACTAGGGCTAGCGTAGGTCAACGATCGGCAAACAGAATCACAAGGGCGAGACTAAAGGGATAAATCCAGGAAAACAGGCAAAGATCAGAAACCGAGAAAACAGACAAGGCAAGACTAGGCTAGGCTAGGAAGCTAAAGAGGGCTCTGTAGAGTAGCTATCACTGCTGGCGATAAGCGCATACAATACTCGGCAGAGAATGGTTGTTTGAGTGAGTGTTATATAGTGAATGTGTGATTGATGACAGCTGTGTGCAATCAGTGCTGTGTGCAATCAGTGCAATGGCTGATGGGATATGTAGTCCGGGATGACATGCAACAGTTTGTGTTGTGCGAGAGTCACTGTAATGGAAGGGTGACCTCTGGTGGTGATTGAACGGAAGTCCATGGACAGGATTCGTGACAATAATGCAGTTGTAAGTGAGTTATTAGTCATTTATTAACACCTTTATAAAGCCTTTATAAAAGGAACCTTAATGTAAAGTGTTACCAAAACAGCTCTTCTATGTAAAATTAAGGCATTTTTTTAATAGTGTATCATTTACCAGCAGGGAGCGAATTAGAGGCTGAATAGAAGGAATGACATATGGCTAGTCAACATTAAATACTTCTGACATGTTGACTTCCTGCGATGTAACATGGTTTCTAGAAAAATATTTTAAACAACAGTTCAATAATGCTTTTTTAATTATCATGCATTAGATAATTTAAAAAGATTGTCATTTATAATGTCATATTAATTGACTACATGAAATTTGTACTTAAACCAGATACAATTTTTAAGACGAGATAATAAAATCAACATCAAAACAAATGTTACATAATATAACAATATTTTAACAAAATAACATCCTCTTTTGTGCTATGATTAGCTGATCAGCTCTGCAAATCTGCCCAAATGGTTCATTTCCAACAGTACTGACTAAAAACAGAGTAGAAAAAACCCACCCAATCAGACATCATCACTTTCGATGATATTTGAATTGACATTAACTTAAATTATTTAAAACATAAACTGATCTCTGAGAGAAAAACACAAAATACACACAAAGAAAACGACTGAAGTAAAATGATTAAAAATGTTAAAGGCAGATGTGAG